TCCAGGCTTAAAGCTGGCTAGGGAATTCTGGGAGCTGAAGTCCTCCAAGCTTAAAGCTGGCTGGGGAATTCTGGGAGCTGAAGTCCTCCAGGCTTAAAGCTGGCTGGGAAATTCTGGGAGTTGAAGTCCGCCACGCTTAAAGTCACCAAAGTTGGAGACCCCTGATTGAATGGAGGACGAATTCTTGCGTTTTGACAATCTCCAAAAAGAGAAGATGAAACACCAATCGGCCTTTTGCAGTCAAATCCTCCTGCCCAAAATGCTAACCAATGCCCACCAGTGTACCTATTGAAGTGTGCCCAGTGAAAGGATCTATATTTCCCACTCACCCCCAGTTTTTAGCACTGGGGAAAAAAACTAAAGTCCCCTCCCAGCTGTTGCTGAGAAGGAAGGAGGGCATCAGGGCCCGCAGGCAATTACTCTTAGGGCTGTACCCATCAAGTTTCTTTCAGGATGAACTCTCAAGGCAGACTCCCAGATTGTCAGTCCATCCTTGCTTCCCAAGTTTAAGACGGGAAATCAATTCTGCCCTGACTTTTACCATCCCCCAATGCCCCACTAGGCTAGTTGGGAAGTTATTTCACATAGTGTTGACATGGGAAGCTACGGAGGCATAACATGAAAAATCAGAGCATCGGCTTGGGGCGATTTACCTGTCCGGTACAAGATTGGAATATGGTCGGTGGAAAGCTTGTGCTCGCTCCGAACTCCGATGAGTAGAGGGCTCCCCCTTCTGGAAAGGAAAACCAGAGGTTGAGTTGAGCAGCCGCCACCATTGGGGAGACTTACTCATAGTTTACTCCTGAGCAACTACTCAGTTAGTTTACTTTATTGTCATTGCACCTCGGACAACTATATTAAATGCCCTCTTCAGTGTATGTTATAACTATACAAATAAAACACACATATCCTTCACGGTCTATGCAACTGAATTGAAAACCCCCGAGAGCCTCGGTGGCGCAGTGGTGAGAGGGCAGTACTGCAGGCTCCTTCTGCTGACTGCTGGCTGCCTGCAATTTGGCAGTTCGAATCTCACCAGGCTCAAAGGTTGACTCAGCCTTCCGTCCTTCTGAGGTCGGTAAAATGAGGACCCAGATTGTTGGGGGCAAGAGGCTGACTCTGTAAACTGCTTAGAGAGGGCTATCAAACAATGTGAAGCAGTATATTAAGTCTTATTGCTATATTGCATTAATACTGCACTATACAGTAGAATTCAATAGAGTTACTGCCCTGGGATAGAAGCTGTTTTCCACCCTATTTTGTCCTTGTTTTTATTATTCTGTACCGTCTGCCAGATGGTAATAGTTCAAAAAAAGGGTGCCCAGGATGAGATGGATCTCTGAGGATGTTTTGAACTTTCTTAAGGCAGCGGGAGCTTAAAGCTCTTCCAAAGAGGGGAGAGGGCAACCAATGATCCTCTGGGCAATGACCTTAACCCTCTGGAGTGACATCCTATCTGCCACTGTGCAATTGGCAAACCAGACACAGGTGCAGTGAGTTAGCCCTGGTTATAGCATTGCAGGCTCAACTGGCTAGGGCTGAATCTTATCAACTCTGGGCCAACCGGTGGGAGACAGAAATGACAGGCTGACTGGCACTCACCTTGTGCCAACTGCCTGGCCAGGATAATGAACACTTTTGAACACCAGAGCGAAAGCCCCCTCCTGTGTTGGGACAGGAAAGAAAATCAGACCTTGCAGTTCTTCTGGGCACGTTCATGTACACACACACACACACACACACACACACACGCACTGAAGAGGAACGATCAGACGCCCTTCTGATTTAAAAAAAAATTACTGTAAGAAAAAATAAATAGGTGGTAAAAACTTATTACACTTGGCTCCTTTCTAAACAAGCACAGATACGCACAGAAACATGTAAACATTCTTTTTGAAAAAAACATAAAGTGCTTTGAGCATCTAAAGGCCCGAAAATACACCCAGCACCCTTTGGAGCAAGATTACCCCACAGGTAATCCTCAATTTACAACGGGTTGCTTAATGAACAATTCAAAGTTACAACAGACCTCCTCCCCTTTCAAAAGCTACTGACAACCTGTTTCTGAAATTATGAGACCCACAACCCGACAATCTTGTGGCTCCATTTTGGACCCTTGGCAACCAGCTGGCCTTTTCAGCTGTCTGCAGCATCACACAGAGGCAGGGCCACAACTGGCCACATTTCTTACTGGGTTTTGGCATTTACTTTTGGTTTCCTGCCAAAACTGCCCACGGGGAAAAATGGTCTCGCTTTACGACTGTGGCATTCACTTAATTGGACAGCCACTTGTTTGGAACAGTATAGGGCTTCGTGCTTGAGCAGTGGGTTAGACTAGAAGACCTTCAAAATCCCTTCCAACTCTGTTACACTATTACTGTTACTAAATACTATGGTGTTTGTGGCTAAAAAAAGAAATCAGATCTGCTCACACAATGCCTCGATTTATGACTCCAAAAACTTAAGAACATATTTCCGGGCTCAATTACGGTAGTGAATCTAGGATTGCCGGTATACAATTATCCTTAGCAGTTTTAAAATAATTCTTAGCTAAACTGAGGGCACTTTGATGGCCGCAACTTGTCATGCCGCTGGTGGAGACTGACTCTGAGGGAGAGGAGGAACAGCCGACAGGGAGTGGAAGTGTGGCTCCAGAGGTTGTGGAGGAGGGTAGGGAAGGACAGAGGTCGGCTGACCAGTCAGAGGGGGACCCAGGCCCACCCCTTCTCCATCCTAGGGCACGCAGGGAGGAGAGGATGAGGGCCTTGATCCTCTTTATGGGCTGCAGCTGTGACCATTGAAAAGACAGCCATGCGTACTGGCGAGCGCTGGAAAGAAAGCATGTAAATATTTCTAGTTTATAGTTCCTCTCTGAGTTTGGCATCCTTCCCAGTGTGTGTTATCCGTGGACATCCTCCAGCCCTTATCTTGCCTGGTTTGTGTTGCTTTTTTCCTTCTTCGTGTAACTGTTTGTGTGGGAGTGTTTTTTTTTTTTTTTTGTCTTCCAACAAGAATATTCGGAGCTTGGAAGCAAAGGGAAGGAATAAAAGGGGCTTCAGCTGTTTTCTGTGACTGTGTTTGTTTTGTATCCCACCCGGGGTCACCACACAGCTGCAAATAAGATTTGCCCCCAAAGCTGGATCTTCCTTGGAAGTGAGGTTCTTCTCGTATCTGAGGCTGAAGACAAAAGTAGCCATCAGAGAAACAGAACATAGAACCATAGGGCTGAAAGGGACTTTGGAGGTCTTCTAGTCCAACCCCTTGTCCAAGACAGAAGACCTCATACCACTCCAGATAGTTTGTCCAGTCTCTTCTTAAAAGCCTCCCGTGATGGAGCACTCACAACTCCTGGAGACAAGCTGTCCCACTGGTTCATTTGTTCTTTGGTGGTAAGTGGGCTCAACACAGCTTGACCCTCTACCATTAAACAGGATCAACGATTTAGCAAAATATATGAGACCCAGACTGCCCAGTGATTTGGGTAAAACTAGAGATGTACCAGCTGTTGAATGACCCTCTCCACCAAGGTGGTGAAGCTTATATCGTCACTTTCACAGTTGTCATACATGTACTTGACAAGCTTTGCGATGGTTTCGGTATCAGTTTCCGATTCAAATTCGTAGCCTTTGCTCTCCTGAAAAGAGGGGAAAAAATGGGCTATTTTTGCACCTGAATCAGGACAGAGAAGCACTGAGCCTGAACAGCATGACAGATGTGGCTCAGCCAAGAGAAAATCGATTGCAAAATATATTACTGAGGTGACCAAGTGCTAAACATCTTGCACACTGAATCCTAATTTCTTATAAAACGGCCCAGCTTTTGAATCAGAAACATTCAAAAGAAACTGCCGGGAAGAAACAGGAAAGTTTACCAATATAGAACGTCAATCTGGACACAGCCAGAGAATGCAAAATATTCTGTGCGTGGAACAGACCATCCTTGGAGGGGGGGGGGGTGTCTCTGCCTGGAGTGGAATTTTGCACATGTTCCAGGCAAAGATGTTCTTGTGGGGGAGAGAAGAAATGCAGGGAAAAACACCCAAAATTCTGAGCCACAATGTGGATTGTTCCATGGACAGAACAAAACATACTTTGCATTTTGTGCCACGCCCCAAGGCTCAACCAGTTTGGCTGCAAAAGGACACCCTGTCTAACCCGTGAAGAACCTTGGGGTCATGTTCTATTGTACGTTTTCCCTTAATACACATAAACCGTTCCAATTATACAACGCCTTTGTGTACTTACTGGTTACATCAGGTCATCACATTATACATCCTAATTAAGTCTATCATCCAATATATTCTCTCCATCAAGTTACACATCCAATTTATCACTATTATTTGCTTATTTCTGCCATGTTACACTATTACAATCCTCACTTTATGCACTTCATATTATATTCATGTACAGTTCCTAAAGATACTTTTTTACATTGTTTATTCTTACATCTTCCTCTTATCTCTGTATATATGTGTGGTGGTTTTTTAAAATAGTTTTATATTTATTTAGTTTTGCCCAAGTTGGCTTTCTCCAAATCCTTTGGACAAAGATTTACAGAATTCTCAGCTTGTGAGGTAAGAATTCTGCAAAACAGAATGTGATATATCTTAAGGACAACATTTTGGGAAAAGCTGTGCTATCATTCCAGTCCAGGTTGCACTGTACTTATATCAGAATGTTAGAATGTACGTTGTCTTCTCTGTGGGTGAACTGATTTATGCAGGAGAAAGGATGTTTCTTAGGTATTCTGCTCCACTTAGCTTACCTTTTCTCTTCTAGAAGCATCACTGCTAAGATACTGATCTTTTTCCCCTCCCATCAATCAGATTTTGCTTTCAGCCTTAAGGCAGTTATGTACAAATGCTTGATTTTAAGATCTGAAATGGTCAACCAAAATTTTATGGAATCAGGTGACAATCCTAACCGTGTCCTCATCATTATATACGTATATGTGTGTTTTGTTGATCTTCTTTCCTTATTTAACACTAATCTCTGCTTCTATTTTTTATCCAATTACACAATATGTCCCACGTTAAATAGTATTCTTCCAGGTCCTGTTTTGAAGGTGTCCCACAAAATACAGTCCAGGAAGCTGAACTTACCAAGAACTTTTTTAGGTCTTTGTAATTTGTGATTATTCCGTTGTGGATAACAATAAATTCTGAAAGGAAAAACGAACATTCACATTCAAGGCTGTGATCAGAAACCGCGCCATAAAAGAAGCAAAATGGGAAAGAAAAGGGCGCCTTGCTCAAAACCTGTCTTTATGCAGGAAGGGGGTGGGGGGTGGGGAAGATAAATGGGTGGAGAGACTGACTCCATGGAAGCTGATCTAGCACCCAATCAGTCTGAGAAGATTCCTGCATTCCAGGCAGAAAGCAATGAAGTACTCTATGCATCTGCTTGTTTGTGCCTCACACTTGAGCCTCGGTGGCACAGTGGTTAAGAGTGCGGCACTGCAGGCTACCTCTGCTGACACGGACCTGCCTGCAATCTGGCAGTTCAAATCCCACCAGGCTCCAGGTTGACTCAGCCTTCCATCCTTCCAAGGTGGGTAAAATGAGGACCCAGATTGTTGGGGACAAAGAGGCTGAATGTAAACTGCTTAGAGGGGGCTGTAAAGCACTATAAAGCGGTATATAAGTGCTATTGCTACACATGGTGAAACAGTCACTTTTGAAGCCCTGTCAATCAATCAATCAAACTAGAAGGGACCTTGGAGGTCTTCTAGTCCAGCCCCTGCTCAGGCAGGAAACCTTATACCATTTCGGACAAATGGCTATCCAATCTCTTCTTAAAAACCTCCAGTGATGGAGCATCCACGACTTCTGGTGGCAAGCTGTTCCACTGGTTAATTGTCCTCGCTGTCAGAAAGTTTCCCCTTAATTCCAGATTGCTTCTCTTCTTTCCATCCATCGTTTCTTGTCCTGCTTTCAGCGGTTTTGGAAATAAGTTGACCCCTTCCTCTTTGTCGCAGCCTCTCAAATCCTGGAAGGCTGCTATCATGTCAGTTGTGAGCACCACATCCTGGATGGTGGACTTAAGACATGCCTAGGAACTGCTTAACTGTTATCTTGACCAGGGGTCTCCAACCTTGGCCACTTTAAGACTTGTGGGCTTCAACTCCCAGAATTCCTCAGCCAGCTTTGCAGAGTTGAAATCCACAAGCTTTGCTGGCTGAGGAATTCTGGGAGCTGAAGTCCACAAGTCTTGGCAAGGCTCGTTCTTATCTGGGACGATTAGATTTTAGTAGCGTTTTACTGTGAATGAACGGAATTCACAGAGAAGCATTACAAAGGTTTTGCTTTTATCTCTGTTTGGTGTTTGTTTGCTTTGAACGAGGCTTGGGTCAGAACACCTACACACACACACACAACCACAAATCCCCTCCCCCCAAGAAAGCCACTTTGTGATCCCAATTCCGGCCTACCGTTGTTTTTGTCTGATCTCTGCGGGTGGCTGTTGACTGGATTAGGTTCGCCGTGGGTGGCCCAGCGGGTGTGCGCAATTCCAAGGTGCACATCAAACTCAATGTCCAGATCTATATCCTGCTGTTCTAGAGAGAGGGGAAAAAACGATATATATATTTTCACTTTTAAAGGCTTTTTGATACTGGTCATGGAAAGAGGAGGCGGCATCAGTTATAATCTCTGGTCTGGTTGTGCTTCAATCCACTCGTTTCAGAACTGTAGCTGTCAGTGCAGCCACAAAGCAGGTCCTGTGGAATATTTGTTGGGTGTTTTTTTAAAAAAATAATGTTGTTAAATGAACGGTCATAAGGACTACCTGTACAACATACTTCATTGGTAGTATATAATATTATAAAATGCTACATGCTGATTTTCTACTTATCAAAATCTACTTATCTCTGGTGAAATTTGGGTTAAAAATATTTTCAAGTTAGCAAGGTTCAAATTATCAAAAAGATAAGTAGTAAATAATGCACCAATACTACGATTTATACAACTTCAAGTAAGAACCCTAAAAGCCAAATGTTGAAGGCAGCACAATTCCATCTTTAGGGTCCAAGAATGGCCATTCAAGCCTCTCCCACCATCCTCTCCCATCACCCAAATCGTGGGAGATACACCAACTCGGATCTTGCGCTCCGGCTTCTTACTACGGGCCTCAATCGGGGCTCCCCGGAGGGAAAACAAACTCTTACTCAGGATGATCAAAGTTAATATTACTTGCAGAAGTTTGGTTTTAACTGCGTTTCATTTGTCTTTTATGTTTTAGGATATACGCCGTCCGGAGTCACCTGTTGGGATGAGCGGCTCCCGGAATCAAATCAATAAACCGAATTAAATGCAGAGTCCGCTCCCTTCAACCACCTGCTTGGGGGGGGGGGGGGGGTTTAAATGCAGCCACTCAAATGAAAAGGAGGAAAACGAGACCTACTGTTAATTTCTTCATCCAAAGCCTTCACTTTCCCTTTCTTCTTAATGAGCGTGATCTTGCCGGCATTGGCCTCCCAGTCTTTCTCATTCCCACCATCGATTCCAACCCCTACGACACAGGAGGGAAGACGAGGAAGAAGGGCAGGCAAACCCCACACACACCCCCACACCCCGGTCAGGATTAGTGGTCCCCAGGTACATAGAAGGCCAAGGAAGGTCTCTGTCTCTCTCTCTCTCTCTCTCCTCCCCTCTCTCTCACACAGACACACACACCTTCATTCTCTAACTCTAACTCACTCACTCTCTCTCTCTCTC